GCATTAACGTTGTGTGCACCATTCACCTTCAATTTCATCACGAAAACATTCATCACCTCCAAACACAATCAACCATATCTGACTGAAAATACTCCAAACACGACAAACATCCGCCACCCATTCATTCACATTTCCATATTCGAACAACCTAAGCCAGTCTACTCTTTAAACCATACGCAGACACAAACATCAATGACCATCACGAATTATAAAAAAACTCCAAAACTCGCCTTTAAATAACAACCACACCCAACACACAACTAAATAATTAAAACTGGTCCGGGACAGATCAACCCCCTGCCCTTTGCTCAGCAATTTCTTAATGTCCCATTTTCATGAATCTGCGGGAACATGTTCTCCGTTTTCAGCTCAATTATTGTGAATGTTCACATAATCCAATACTAAACCTAACAAGAAAAAACAAAATATCAGCCAACTAATATGTTCTACCACAATTGCTCGTGTTAACAGCGACTAATTACATTGGGACATTTCAACATACAATAACACAACCACGCAGCCTGTCCACCTTTCAGGCATTCCAATGAAACTCCTTCATTGGCCCCATTAGTTAGTGCTGTCATTATTGCTCCAATCCAGTCGTACATCCTCACAGTGTTCAAGTCGTTCATATACCGAACAAATGCCCAACTTATTGTTTCACCTGAGTTTGTGAAAAACAGCTTGCCACACATGTACAACGCCAGAAGCTTTGCTACGTCTTCCTCATCTTGCCTAGTCTGCCCTTTAATAGCTTCGACAAACAAACTTTTCACCAGTTTCGATGTTAACTGTGACGTGTCACGGCACCTACGCTGAATGAAGTCAGATACTGGTCGTTGACCCGGAGATAAATCCAAACGTTTCTTCCTGCATTGCAGACCAAAAATTAGTCTGACATCGCTACTATCAAATTGCACACATGCTCCTCCAATATGAAACGCATTATCACGCGGATCATATATTCTTATAATCTTCGAGATCAGATCATCACACTTCCTGAATTCATTGTGGTTCAGATTGTTGACGTGGATCGCCTCGATCATAATCCAAAATGGCGTTCTCTTTAATTGATTCATATGTGCCTCCCTCAGTTTTACCGAACTAACAAGTTTGATTATACCAGCAACGTTTGACCGGTAGTTAATCCTCGTGTGGGCCTGTCGCTGTGGGGAGTAATTAACTTTACTCACATTACGTCCCACCGTATTATGTACAACTTTCGTCTGCTTGAAAAGGATGCGCCCCTCCATTTTCACACCTACTTTGTGTGGCTTCGACCCAGATGCTTCCTCAACCATTCGCTTCTCACACGAGCGGGTCCACGGACTACGTACTGTACTGCTATCTGCAACACCAGAAATAAACCAATTTAACAATTAATACAGCTACTCCCCCAACAAAATAAGCCCATGCAGCCACCCCCCATACAAAAAAAACCAGCTGCTGCACACAAAAATACCAACACCACACTCTCACTCAACAAATGAACTCATTGCATCACACCCCACCGCATTACCACACCAACTCAGCCACCAACAAGACAGACACCAAAACCCCCACCACATAGCACCCACATACCCCACATGAAACTATGACCCACAAATAGTCAGCAAATTAAAAAAAGAAACTCTCGCAAAACACATACAACTACAGCCACACAAACCACATACAAAAACCACAAAACCTGCCAAAGCCAAACCCCACCTGCATGTTCACAGTAACATGTGCCCCCACAAACCAACCCCACAACCAATTTTTATCTGAACCTAATCCCACTCACACACAAACACAAAAAAACAACGATGGCCCACACAAAAACCAAAAGTACCACAACACATAGTAAAAAAAAAAACCACATACCCCCAAAACCAAACACGCACCACATAAAAAATATTTCACACTAACCCACACATGCAAACATCCACCCAACCCACACAAGCAGACCCCTTTTCCAAGCATCACGTGTGGTCCCCAACAAAAATGTCCCCCTCAATAACTTTCTTCAACCCTTTACCCCCACAACCACAACCAACAACACAACACAACACAACACACAAAGGAACAAAAAATCCCAAGCCTCAGAAAGTCGTACGCTAGCCCACACCAACCACCAAAAACCAAATACCCCACAAACCCAACACGCAGCACAATAATCCACACACACAAAACCCCCCAAACACCTAACACACACACCCTCCAACATCATACTTAATCGACTCATAACCACTACTAAACAGTACGAACGAAATCGACAAGGAAAAAACATAAACAGAATGAGCCATACTACGAAACACAAATGCCAACATCAAAATTTACGGAACATACCCATCCCGTCCATGAAAGATCTATGTCAGATCACCGTTGAGTGATTATTCGAACTGGGGTTCCTTTATCGGCCACTTCTTGCAACGTCACACCGTTCGATCGTCACACCGTTCGACTGTCACAAGTAGGGTTTCATACAGTACAGACTGAGAGACCACAACGACTGTGTAAATATAAATGGACAAAACGGGTAAAACTTGAACGGGTTGTGGGTGTGTGGGCATTGTCCTAACCCCCAAACACACCAACCCAGCCCAAAAATAAAAATCCCTTACAGCGGTTTCCCATTTTGTGACACCTTCGCAGTGTTTCACATGCAACACACCACACATGAGCCACACACGCACGTGAGACACACACGCGCCTCAACCCCAATCTTGAAGCCCCCCAGCCGCATCAAAGAACAGTTACACGAGGGTATTTATGTCCCTCACAATTTGATGGGACTAAACGGTTTAATAGAATAAAAAGGGGACCAACTGGTTCATAAGTTCAAATTTTGGGATTTATTGGTAAATCTCTCTTTTTAATTCAGTTCGATAAATAAATATGGTACGTTATTTATTTATTTGTTTGGCTTTATTTCAATTTATTTTATTTACACAGAAGATTGTTCCAACAGTTTGGCTTGTTTATCACCCCTAGTTAAGACTATTATAATTATGGGATAGGTTTCCTCCCATTTATGATTTGAGTTGGAGGGTGTTGTCAGTAAAGTCCATTACAAAACTCATTTTGATGATTTGATCTATTTATTTTGTAATGTTCTTTGTGTAAATCATTTTTTAAAAATTAGGTTTATTAGCTAATTGTAGCGTATTTAATTTATTATATTTGTCTTTAAAAAAATGAACGACAAATATGTTTTTTAGACCATCAAATTTTTTTTATTTTTTTTATTACAACGGAACAAATTGAACATATTATAATTATCAGATCAACTTAATTTTTTACGAGAATAATATATATGAAAAATCTTACAAAATGAACTATTCAAATTATAAAAACTACATCCCAACAACACCCGATTTGGAATGGAGGGTAGCCGCTTTCTATAATTATCACCCATAATTGAATATAAATAAATAATTAATAAACGAAAAAATAAATATATGGCTGATACGGATTACACATCGACGACCTTAATGCTGTGTTTGGTTGGAGGGTTTTGGGAAAAGATTTTGAAAGGGAATGGGAAAATGTGTGTGAAACTAGGTGAAATATAGACATATTTTATTCACATTTCACCTACCTTTTCCATTTCCCTTTCCAAATCCCTCCCTAAATTCCCCAACCAAACACAGCATAAGTCTTTTTAAAAATAGACATGGATTCCAATAATTGCTCCTCCCAAAGACATGCATAGGAGGGACGGACAAGAGATGCTGCTATTACTTCGAGTCACAATCCCCTGTTGTGATCTTTCATGATGGTTGATACCGGGTTTGTTTTTATGATCCGAACGGTTCATATTATAGGGTTCGTCGAGTATATGATTCATGAAAAAAATAAAATTAATTAGACATCCGTAGGCCTATGATCAAGTCCTAATTGTTTTTAGAAATTATGTTAACCATTTATTTTTTAAAAAATAAATATGTTCTTGTTATAAAACTGTAGATATCCAAGCAACTTGATTTTTTGTATAAATGATCCACTCAACAAAACGTACAATATGAACAGATCGAATTAGTGAAAAAGATTCGGGACAAGCATCGACAATAGCTTGCTGTATGGCACAGCAGGAACCCCAATTGCAGAATGGACCGGTCTTATCCTCTTTGTGAAGGATTCCACCCATTTGCCGTCTTGTGTTTTGCTTTTGTTTTTTTGTTTTAATTACGAAAGAAGGAATCCGCCTCCTTAATTATCATATCTCTAGTAAACGTTAGTTTAGGAAGGTCTTTAATTAATTATTTTTTTTTAATGGTCACATTTTAATAGTAGTATAATAAGCACACCATCATATGTAAGTGCCTAATTCATCAAGAAAAAAAAAATTGAAAAAAAAAATCATGGCAAGCTCGCTTATTGTGCTCTACACTGCCCTTTTGTGGTGGTGGTGCTACTTGTTGTGCAACATCCCTGCAGCCAGTTGCATCATGGCAAATGAGACAGATCGGCTTGCGTTGCTGGCCTTGAAGACCGCAATAGTTCAAGACCCATTTGGTGCCCTCACTTCCTGGAATCATACAGTCCACCACTGTCACTGGAACGGCATTTTTTGTAGTCGTCGACATCCTGATAAGAGTTATTGGGATAACTCTAACTTCCTCAAAAGCATCGTTCTTCAAAACAATAACTTCCACCGCCCAATCCCACAGGAGTGGGTCGCTTGTTTCGGCTACAAACAATAAACTTCAGCAACAATTCGTTTGGAAGCGGAACACCCAACAACCTTTCTCGCTGCTCAAAAGTTGAACGGCTGAACTTGCTTGACAACAACCTAACCGGAAACATCCCAGTTGAGTAAAAACAAGCTTTCAGGAACCATCCCTCCTTCCATTGGAAACCTCTCATATCTGTCAGAACTCTCTTTAGCGGAATGTAATCTGCAAGGGGAGATTCCAGGGGAATTTACTAAACTTCGAGGCCTGGCATTTGTCCAGTTATCGCAGAATAAACTATCTGGTAAGGTCCAATCTGGCCTTTACAATATCTCCACCATCATTATGTTATCAGCAATTTATAACCAACTTCAAGGAATTATTCCCCCTGATATAGGCTCCACACTTCCTAATCTCAGGTTTCTTTATTTTGTGAACAATTTGTTTACTGGAACACTTCCTACTACACTGTCAAATGCTTCGGAGCTGGAATGGATAGTCTTCTCTACAAATGATTTCACAGGACAATGCCAAGTGATCTTGGAAAACGTACGGGTCTTCAAACAATAGCAGTTCATCAAAATCGATTGTGAGATGACCTCACTTTTATTTCGTCTCTAACAAATTGCACCAGTCTGCAATTTATTGATGTGGGTAAAAATCTTCTCAGTGGTACATTGCCTGACTCTGTAGCTAATCTCTCCACATATCTTATCTTGATAAATTTGGAGCTTAATCAAATACATGGAAGCATTCCTTCAGGCATCGGGAACCTCCTCAGCCTCACTGTCTTATCTATGGCAGTAAATAATCTTGCAGGCCCTATTCCATCCTCCATCGGTAGACTTCAAAAGCTGCATGCTCTGTACTTAGACCAGAACAAATTCACAGAACTTCCATCATCGCTTGGTAATTTGACTTCGTTGATTACACTCAACTTGGGAGAAAACAATATCCATGGAAGCATACCTCTGAGTTTGGGCAATTGTCATAGCTTGTTGGAATTAGACCTTTATAAAAATAATCTCAATGGTTCAATACCCTATGAAATTATGAATCTCTCCTCCATTTCAATATTCCTCTTGTTATATCACAATGCACTGACTGGTTCTCTTCCATTAGAAGTTGGGTCTTTGAAAAATCTTGCAGTCATGGATTTGTCCTATAATAGATTATCAGGATCCATACCAAACACTCTGAACAGTTGTTTGAGTCTAGAATGGCTACTGTTGGAGGCGAATTCACTTGAAGGAGAGATACCTCAAAGTTTGAGCACATTGAGGGGCTTAAGAGTATTGGATCTTTCACACAAATTTGTCGGGGCTGATCCCAAGTTATCTAGGTGAGCTTCAATTAGATATGTTGAATTTGTCGTTTAATATGCTACATGGACAAGTTCCCATGCAAGGAGTGTTCGAAAATTCAAGTGCAATTTCAATTGTAGGAAATAATGATCTATGTGGAGGTATTGCAAAATTAGACCTTCCTCCTTGTTCATCCTCCAACTCAAGCAAGAATAAGCTCTCCCACAAGATGAAAGTGATCCTACTGGTGGTTGCTCTTGTGACATTTTTGTAGGACAATCTTCACTGTATTTAAAAAGATTAAATTCTGTTGTGTACAAAACAACAACAAGAATAAAAGAAATAGAGAAAAGGAGAGAATTTGTTTGATTACAAAAATCAAACTCGAAATAAAAATAAATAAATAAAACCACAGATTTTATTTTGTTACAAAAACAAAAATAAAATCTGATTAAATAAACAAATAAAAACAGAATAAAATTAAACAACTTACTTGGTTAATTTATTTGAATAACTTTTCTGATCATTTGAATTGAACAGGTATGTGGCTCTTGGTTTTGAATTGAACAGGTATGTGGCTCTTGGTTTTGAATTGAACAGGTATGTGGCTCTTGGTTTTGAATTGAACAGGTATGTGGCTCTTGGTTTTGAATTGAACAGGTATGTGGCTCTTGGTTTTGAATTGAACAGGTAGGTGGCTTTTGGTTTTGAATTGAACAGGTATGAAACCTGTTATATTCAAATTTAAACAGATTTGAATCTGTTTATTCAAACAGATAGAAACGGGAAGGGCTCTGTTTGGATGAGCAATAAATCCAAAACAGTTTAATTCTGTTTGAAAACGGGAAGGGCTCTGTTTGGATGAGCAATAAATCCAAAACAGTTTAATTCTGTTTGAAAACGGGAAGGGCCCTGTTTGGATGAACAATAAATCCAAACCAGTTTAATTTGAATTCTGGATTTTATTTTAATAAAATATAAAATTAAATTCAAATGTTTTTTGCCCAAAAAGATTAGAAGCCCAACCCAACCACACACCACGCACCAGCGCCCAAGCCCAGGCCCAGCCCGCCTGGACGGACGGCGGCGGCGGCGCGCACGTGTGGTGATTTTTGGGTCCAATGGGTCTAGCCCATTTTGCCCATAACCTCTCCCTCTAAAACACTTGGGTACCCCTTGGGGCACACCCCAAGTATCTCGCCCAAGCCTTATAACCCCTTTCAAAACTTCCCACCAAATCAATGTGGGACAAGCCAATTTACAACCTTAAGGAATTTCCACCAAAACTCCATTTTCATGGAGCACACTTTGGCTTCAATTTCCCATTCACTCGGTAATGGTTTTGAGCAACCAAATATACCACGTGAATCACAACGCGGCATAGAACGCGTTACCACTTTGACCCGAGTAAATCGATGCTCGGGGCCCACCTAAAAAATAGACCAAACTTGAGAAAAAATTATGGTTTTACCCAGAATTTTTCTACCATTTCCAACAATTCCCTACATGAATGGAATTTGATGACAACGGAAATGCAACAATATGCAGACTTTAACGAAAGAGTATAAGTCGAAAATATCTTGCATCAGAATAGGTAGTTTTTCGGCCTTAAACCTTCCCTAGTGATAATCTATCGGACTTACTGGCTAACCAATGGACGCGATGCCTTGAATTGTTCAGCCGTTTGTGTAAGCCAAGACAATAGATTTCACACAAAATATCTTCTAACACATCGTGGTTCTCACTGTTGTGTTCATTTTGGCCTTGAACGCTGCATGAATTCATAAGTGTTTCAAGAGAATTTAGTCTCTTCATTCTCATAGAACCAGCCCCAGTTCAACACTCATATAGGTAACCAATTCACATTACTTGTAAAATCTAGGAGTAGCAATAACTTATCTAAGAGTAGTTCAGTACATGTACTTAGGAGTAATAGTAGTTTAAGTTCTTGTTAACTCATTTTGGGCCTGTGGATTGTAGTGCTATAAAACTTGTAATTTGATTATTGTAATTAAGTGACAAGTTTAAGTATTATTAATCACATTTCCAGTGTGATTATCTCTGTTTCTTCACGTTACAACCTCCAAAGAAATCCTTGAATCTGTCCAAGTCTTAGCACACCAACCACATTGTTTGATTTGTTTGTGAAAATTGATTTCTCTATCAAATCCACTCTGTTGATTTGACCCAAACTAAATTTTTGCTAACAGACGTTAATACATAAAGTGGGCCAAGTTTTTAATTACCAAACCAGTAGTTACCCTTGTACACTAGGTAAAATGATCAAACAAAATGCCTAATACGCTTTTTTTTCTTCTTCTTTTTAATGTACTTTTGTTAGGCAGAATGCTTACTAGTGTTGGAGGCCTCTGTTGGACAATCTTCACTGTATTTAAAAGATTTAATT